TGAACTCTTTATGAACTCTTTTAAACAGAGATATATGAAAGGTCACATATCTCTGTTTCTCCAGGATTAGTCCCTGGTGCCTTATTTAGTTCATTTGGTTAGGTCACATTTCCCTTAATGGTGTTGATGCTAGTTAGATATTCTTCAGTGTCTGGACGTTGAAGAGTCAGGTATTTATTCTAGTCTTTGCTGTGTGAGCTTATTTGTAGCCATCCTTCTCAGGGAAGACTTCCAGAAATTTGAAAGATGTGGATGTTGTGTTCAAGCTGTAGCTACTTCAGGGGCACCCCAAGACCAGTAATGCTGTGATTCCTGCCGACTTGTACCACCTTGATGGTCTTGGTCCAGATATGGGAGAATTCTCTAAATTATCAGGCAAAGATTTGTTTTCTTTTCTTACTTTCTCCCAAACATACAGTCTCCTATGTCATTTTGTAACACCTAAACCTGGGGATGGGGTGACACAGCACCTCTGTGGCCACCACCACTATGACTGGGCTGGGTCAGATCTGAAGTCTGTAAAGCACTGGGTCTCATGCAAGGCCTGCTGTAACCATTCCCTGGCTACTCCATATGGTTTCTCAAGGCCCTGGGATTGTATGGTCAGCAGGTGGGAAAGCCAGCCAGGTCTGTATCCTTCATTTCAGGATGGCAAGGACCCCCAAGCCCTGGATGGGTCCAGAAGTGCCATCTGGGAGTCAGGGAGTAAAGTCAAAAACCTTAGAAGTCTATCTGGTATCATATTACATTGCAGCTGACCTGGCACTAAAAACAAAAGACACAGTCCTTACCACTCTTCCCTCCCCTTTCCCAAGGTACAGGAGCCTCATCCTATAGCTACTGCCATCCTAGTCATGATGAGTACTTCCAGACTACCACTGATGTTCCCATAAGGGCCAGGATCTCTTAAGTCTGCTTCTGGTGGATGCTGCCTAGCTTGAGACTCACCCTTCAGGGAAGTGGGCTCCCCTGGGCAGGTCCAGAAATGCCATCCAACAGTCAAATCCTTGGAATCAAGGACTCCAAGAGTCTGCTTGACCGTACACCCACCATGGCCATGTTGGTACCTAAGGTACAAGACAAAGTCACCTTTACTTTTCCATCTGCTTTTCTCAAGAATAAGGAGTTTCTCCCCATAGCCACCATAGCTAGTAATGTGCTGAGTCTTACTTGCCAGCAAGTCTCAGAGGTTCACCCAAGACCCAAGATGTAGTACCTGGTTGTCTCTGCTGGTTATTTGTGGCTCAAAGGCTCTTCAGTTAGCGGGTGATGAAAGCTGGCAGGTCTAGGTCCTTTTCCTCAAGGTAGCGGGTACCTTCTGTCCTAGGGTGTGTCTAGAAATGTCATCTGGGAGCTAGGACCTGAAACGGGGACCTCATGACTCTCACTGGTGTCCTATCCTGCTGTGGCTGAGCTGGTATCCAAGAAGCAAGATAAAAACCTCACCACTCTTCTCCCTCCTCTCAAGTGGAAGAAAGGGGTCTCTTTTGAAACAACAAGCTGTGCAGCCTGGGTTTAGGGGAGAGATGATGCCAGCACTCCCTTGGTTACCCAAGTTGGTATCCCAGTATGGACTCACCTAAGAGTTGCAGTTCTGATGACCTAGACTGCCTTTCAAATGTACTTGGAGACACAGAACACTGTTGCCCTCTGTAGTGAGGTTTGCAGGCACTCAAGTTCTGACTGCTGGGATCAGCGACTCCCCTCTGGCTAGGCCTGGTTTAAATATTCTCTGTGTGACCAGGCATCAGCTGAGTTAGGACTGGTTTTCATTTCTGCTCTAACAGGACAGCACTGAGTTCAGTGATTCACAATTACTGTGTTTTCCCTTCCCCAGAGCCCAGAGATACTCTCCACACCAGGCCGTTGCTGGTGGGGGTTGAAAGGGATGGTGTCAGCGATTCAGGACTGCTTTTTCTATTTCTTCAGTGGTATTTTCAGTGATACCAAGTTAAATCCAGGTACTATAGGTACTGACCTGATTTTTGGTTCTTATGAAGGTGTTTTTTGTTTGTTTGTTTTGTTTTGTTTTTGCTATATAGATAGTTGTTAACTTGGTATACCTGCAGAAAAGATGATGTCCTTGCCGGGGGATGTGGAGCCTTCTGTTCTGGCATCTTGCTCAGCTTTCCAATTCAGTTGTTACATATTTCTCAAGGTCCTCTATTGTCTAGGGTTTTTTCTCTTTAACATCTTTAAAAGTGCCTTACCACAAGACAGATTCAAGATTTAAACGTTAATACCTAAAACCATAAAAATCCTTGAAGAAAACTTAAGCAATACCATTCAGGGCATAGGCAAGGACTTCATGACTAAAATACCAAAAGCAATGGCAACAAAAGCCAAAATAGGCAAATGGGATCTAATTAAACTAAAGCGCTTTGGCACAACAAAAGAAACTATCATTAGAGTGAACAGGCAACCAAAAGAATGGGAGAAAATTTTTGCAATCTACCTGTCTGACAAAGGGTTTATATTCAGAATCTACAGAGAACTCAAATTTACAAGAAAAAAACAACCCCATCAAAAAGTGGGCAAAGGTTATGAACAGACACTTCTCAAAAGGAGACGTTTATGCAGCCAACAAACACATGAAAAAAAGATTATCATCACTGGTCATTAAAGAAATGCAAATCAAAACCACAATAAGATATCACCTGAAGCCAATTAGAATGGTGATCATTAAAAAATCAGGCAACAAAAAATGCTAGAGAGGATGTGGAGAAATAGGAATGCTTTTACACTGTTAGTGGGAGTGTAAATTAGTTTAACCATTGTGGAAGACAGTGTGGTGATTCCTCAAGGATCTAGAAATAGAAATTCCATTTGACCCAGCAATCCCGTTACTGGGTATATACCCAAAGGATTATAAATCATTCTGTTATAAAGACGCACACATGTTTATTGTGGCACTGTTCACAATAGCAAAGATTTAGACTCGATAGAGAAAATGTGGCACATATACACCATGGAATACTATGCAGCCATAAAAAGGGATGAGTTCATGTCCTTTGCTGGGACATGGATGAAGCTGGAAACCATCATTCTCAGCAAACTAACCCAAGAACAGAAAATCAAACACCAGATGTTCTCACTCATAAATGGGAGTTGAACAATGAGAACTCATGGACACAGGGAGGGGAACATCACACAGCAGGGGGGTTAGAGAGGGATAGCATTAGGAGAAATACCTAATGTAGATGATGGGTGCAACAAACCACCATGGCTCATGTATAACTATGTAACAAACATGCACATTCTGCAAACGTACCCCAGAACTTAAAGTATATATATATTTTTAAAAACTACCTTACCTGTCTTATACAACTTCCTTAGGTTTTTCAACTCTCTTCTCTTTTCCCTTTTTTCTCTTCCTCTCCCCCTCCATTTCATCCAGAAATTTAATGTTCATATGTATTTCCCTCAAACTTCCTTTTTAAAACACAATCATATCTCTGACCTTTTTGTTTATCCTATTGTCATGAAAACCTGTCTTCCTGCCCTCAGTTATAGTAGTTCTCATTCCAGTATGCTTCCAGAAGATGCTGAACATCATCATTTACATCTGTATCTGTCCTCCTGGATCCCTTGCTCCTAGGCACATGCCATGATTCTGTCAATAAATGAAAAAATGGTATTTCCTCTGCCCGAAAATGCACTGCATAATCCTCCATCTACCATCCCACCTCCCACCTTTAACCAGCTAAATCTTCCTAATCTTTCAATATTTATTTTAGGGTGCATTCTTCTGAAAGGTTTTTCTCCATTTGCCAGGCTATGCTAGGTGACTATCCACTATTACCTCATGATGATGAATGAGCTCTTACAGTGAAAGTCAAATCACACCACTCCTCTGCTCAAGATACTTCAAAGGCCCCTATTTTAGTCTGAGTGAACATCAAAACTTTTGCTATGGCCTAATGTGCCCTACAGAATCTGCCACCTTTTCCTCATTATCTTCATTTTATACTACTCTCTTCTTTTCTCTAAACTTAGGCATACTATCCCTTTAGTGGCAAGACAATAGCTGGGATGCTTTCCCTAGATAGCTGCATGACTAAATTTTATACTACTCTCTTCTTTTCTCTAAACTTAGGCATACTATCCCTTTAGTGGCAAGGCAATAGCTGGGATGCTTTCCCTAGATAGCCGCATGACTAACTCCCATGTCTCCTTCAAACCTTTGCACAAATGTCCCTTAATCAATGAGGCCAATTAAACTATCCTATTTTAAAATGCAATCTGCATCACCCTCCCCACCTGCAGATTCCTAATCTTCCTTTCTTTGCTCTGTTTTTATAGCACTTACTCTCTCCTATCAAAGTACACATTTTTATGACTATTGTTTATTGTCTGCTTCTCCTTATGAGAATGTAAGTAAGCTCCACAAGGAAAGATATTTTTATCCATTTTGTTCACTTGAATTCTCCAGGTGCCTACAGAGATGACTGGAACTTAATAAATGCCCAGTAAATGTGTCTGAACGAATGAGCCCTGATTGTATGTGCTACAATGTCTTCTTTGTCTGCCTCGCCACCACCACACTAACTTTTTGAAGGCAGGAAATTTTACTATTATGTCTATTTACAGTATGTTAGCACATTTCCTCATAATAGTGGGTTTGTAATAAATGGTTGCTAAGTGCATGTGTACATCTCTGACCTCCTCCCTCCATAGCTTTGCAGGGTTTGTGATGACACCACGTCAAATCAGAATACAAATGCAATAATGTTGTTTTCTTAGTAGGGAAGCGTTATTATAAACTATCACAGTATCTGGGGTCTGCTGAGATGAGGACACCAATATGGTGAACATTGCTCCTGCTGAGTTTCTTCAAAATTTAAGAAATCGCCAGAGTCCATTTTACCTTTTCCCTCTTCTGTACCTGTACATGAAACATTTATTTTAATAAGCTGGGACTAAAGGGAAGCCTGAGAACTGCAGAGCTTGAAAAATAGTATCTTACCTTCTGCGATTTTTCTTTTTGTTTCCTTTCCCAGAGCTCTTCCTGCCATGATGCAGTGGGTCCGCACGCAGAAGCCAGGAGAGAGTGGCATCAATATTGTCACTGCCGATTTTGTAGAACTTGGTGACTTTATCAGCACTGTCATAAAGCTCAACTATGTCTTTGATGAAGGAGAAGCCAACACTTGATAGCACTACTTGGAGTTTCCATGAATAAGACGGAGAAGACTCATCATAATAGGCATTATCTGATCTTCCTATTCTACTGAGTCTCTGAAGGGAATAGGGCTGGTAGTGGGTGGGAAAAGGGGAAAACTATTTCTTCATTGATTACAAGCATACTCTTCATGGCTATAAATATTTCATTTCCCATTTGATGAGTGAAATCTACTTCTAGTGTTAGGGATTAAAAAAAACCAGTAAATTTGTTTTTCAAAATTTGTCTTTGTAACGTAGAACTCATGAGTGTTTACTTGATTAGGCTCTCTACCTTTCAGCCTAAGGCTCCTACACTGTCTATACCCTGTAACCTTCCTGCTCCCTCTCTTGCTCGCTCTTTTAAATCAGATGCTGTATGGAAATCAAAACAATTGGATGCCCAACATTTTGTGTATTACATTGTTGTCTTAAAACTTATTAGTTTTGTGGAACTTGGTATAATACTCTGTAGTCATCTGCAGTTGGGCAGTCATAGCTATCTTTTGCTCATAGAAAATCTGCAACAAATCAGTTTCCATGCATCAGTAATATCGGAGGTCATAATCAGTGATTTTTGTTATATGAAAATAATAGTGTTTCACAGATTTCTATTTAAGGCAGCTATAAATATAGGATAAAAACATTTTTGGAAGAACTGTGAATGCCAACTTCAGAGGGAAAAAATGCTTGAGGGGTGAAAGAGATGGATGGCATTTTAATTTGGCAATCTCTTGAATAATATTGCCCTGCAAGTACCCAGTAAATGATAAGGTATGACAAGTGTGTTAAAATTGAAAACTCTGAAAAGAACTCTTTAAACAGCCCTCTTAATGACTCCTTTGATTATTAAAAAAATAAATAAAAAATAAAAAAATAAAAAGGAAGGAAGGAAGGAAAAAAGACTGCAAGCTTTCCTGCCAATTGGGGACTTCCAAATATTTAGTCTAAACTCCAGATTTTAAGGAAGATTTTTTTCAAGAAACTTCAAGTTTTTGACTTGAAGAAAGAAAGAGGCTGGTAGAAGGAGTTAGAGCAATGTTTTTGAAATTATGTCCATGAAATTACAGGGTTCTGTGAAATCTCTTTACAAAACTTGAAATCTATGAGATGTGAGTGGACCTCTTTAAAATTGGCACTGACTCCTCACTTCTGAGTTTCATCCTATTTGAGGGATGAGAGGCAAAAGTTTCACACAAAGTTTCTACAACCTAACATTTAATCCTCCATGTCTACTGGGAAGAACAATGACAAAGCCTGAGCGTTGCTTCTGACTTGGTGTCTTTGTGATATTTGACAACTCTAAAAAATAATCTTAGTAACAGCACAATAATCCTTGCCTATGTACTTCACAATATTGTGAGGTATTTATAAAAATTATAAAATTTGATGAAATTCTTACAATTATGAATTATTTTCGTATTTAGAAATAATCAAACCTCAATAGTTTCCTAGGACAATACAGTCCATGCAAAGGAGGGTCATAGAGAAATAAAAGCATGCCCTCAGCTTTTAATGAACTTAAATGTAGCACATATGGCTTCATCTCTTAGACTTAGATAAAGAAATTGAATTCAAGATTATATATGTCAAGATTATAAATAATCAAGGGTTGATTTCAAAATTATAAATACTCATGATCAGAAAATAGTACTTATCAGCAATTAAAGGGAGGAAAAGAAATTGTTTATACTGAAGACAATGTTTGTGAGGAGTGTGCCTATACCTGTGGTAGACCAAATAGCATACAGGTACACACAAAACTGTGTTTATATATTCGGGTTGTGTGTATACATCTTGCCATATACACTATGCCAACATATGCCCACTCTTGTGCAAGCATACAGAGTCAAACATACACAAACACACAGAGATATGGACAGACACAGTACAATTCTTTTTGAATAAAAACATTGAATAATTTAAAGACTGAAACCCTTAATGTGTGAAAAAGAGTAATAAGACCTTTGAGAGTAGATGATCACATTAAAATATTTTTGTAAAAATTTCTAGTATAGGACTTCATTGCTTTCAAAATATATTTCTTCTTTCCATTTTCCCTTCCCTTGCATTTTTGTTATCTTTCTATTTCTTACACCTGCTCTTTATGTGCAAATATATATGAATCCTTTTAAAATGATTAGAATTACTGAAATGCGTGTCCCACAAATCTGATTTTTAGGCAGACTTTTTCCTCTACCTGGCTATTTATTCATCCTTCAGGAGGATCTTTAGCCAAGCATATTTGCAGTGACATATAAATTTAATTTTATAAACATAATGGAAAACAGATTTTTCATCATATTAATGAATAAAATATAGAGGTAATTACGTTGTATTTTCTTGAACCTAGATACTTTCTTACAGTGTTTGCTTAAAATTAACTTTGTCCTATTTGTCAACTGGGTGCTGGAAAAAAACATGTTGAAGCTTTAGAATAATTGTGTAGATTTTTAACTAGGGAAAGCTTTGTATTGCTGCTAATGACAAGCACCCAGAAACCTTGTTAGATAAAAGGCACTTTCAAGCCAATGCTGTGGTTTCCACTGGACATACAGTGCCTATGTAGCAGGCACTGAGAGTAAATGGACTTGCCTTAATTTAGAAAGGAGGGGAGAGGTAGAAGGGAACCATGGGTCCTCCAGTTAGATGGGGAGTTTACTAAGAGAGAGTCCTTGGAAAGGGGAATGGAGAGAAGGTACCTTTGGGTGTCTTCTGTCCATTAGCCCTGCCCTGGAGCACATTTGCTACTTCCAAAAGTAACAAACGGTGATATACAATCAAAGATTACCCTCAGCCTATGCTCCTTTGTCTTAGCTAGGCACTGTTTTTTCAGAGAGTTTGTGTAGCACAAGGGCTGCACACGGGCCCCAAGATGGCAGTAGATACAGCTTGGTGCACTTTTCATTTTGCTTGTTTCTTAAGACTATTTCACAAGTCCTGCGAGGCAACAAAACAAAACAACCAGACAAATAAAATCTAACTTTTACCCAATCTACAGCAGAAAATCAAAGGAGTGGGTGGGATGAGAGAAAATATGCAAAGAGCAACATTTTTAAGTTTGCTTTCCTGTCTGTGATTTTCAAGGACTAATATAACAAAAATGTCTTCTGCCATTATCATTTATGTCTCCCTATTTACTACACTGTCATGTAAATGCAGAGAATGAGGAAGCATCTTTTAAAAGCCTTAGGATATTCTATATGATGACCTCAATATTTACTTTCAGCCATACTGGGAAAACTTACTTTTCATGGAGTGCCACCTAACAGTGAATGTATTAGAGTATAAAATGTTTGGCATATATACACCTATATGTGCACACACACACACACAGAATGCACATTTCACACACATACACTTATTCAAGTTAAAACTGCACTCGAATCAATCCGATTCTACTGCCGTTTCAACTCCTACATTAGTAGATATAAATCTAATTCAAGTATTTAAATACTTAAGAAGAGAAAAGTAACTAGAAAACCAATGAAAAGTGAGACTGTCAGAAATAGAAAATGCCTGGCACTAACAATTTATCTACATTGTCAATTACACTTCAAATTAGAGAATCCAAGATGGACTTGAATATAAATTACACACACACACACACACACACACACACACACACACACACACCTTAAAGTTGTTTTAAGTTCTTTGAAGTTCGAACATGTTTTTACCCAGGGTTATTTTGTTCAGGTTCTTCCTTGTTAGGATTCCAGACTAGAAAGTTGGAAGTCTCAGGAAATGCATGTTTCCATGAGTTTTTTAGTTTCACAGTTTCCAGCAACACAATCTTTTAATCTTTGGTCGCCCAACCAAACAGGAGCTCCATAGGCAGAGTGCTCACACTTTGAATTGCTAATAGAAAATAATGCACAGTGTCCTCAGGATATGATAAACAAGGTTTTTAAGAGCATTTTATTTTATAGCACTTTAGTCTTTTCAGCTAGATTTCAGTGACACCATGGTGTAAATGCTATATTTGCCATAACTTATTGGTGGCTCCTGTGTTACATACAGTTTTAAATAATGCTCTAAATTGTTTGCTTTCCCAATGATAATGATAAAATATTCTGTAGAATTTGTAAAACATGTCTATTGAATCTGTTGAAAATTGTGTAATTGTTCTTTCAATTGTGATACTATTTTGTAGATATTAGTTTTAAATGTATATTTGTATGAGTCTAAAGTATGTGCTTGTATGTGGTATGTGTGGGTACATATATGATAGCTTATCAAAAATCAAACTTATCCTAAAGAAAAAGGGCACATTGTGACCAGCCTTAATTTATTAACACTTTTTTTGTTATTGTTGCAATTTGGATTTAAAACTGAAACTGAAATTAATGTTTTTGTTAAAAATCGCTTCTTTTGATTTTACAATGAATGTGCTTTAGAACCTATCTGCGTTCCCACAAGCAAACTGTCCAGCTTGTGAGGCACCCCATGCTTTCTGAAATAGTCAAACATCTATTAACTTATTAATGTAATCATCACACAGACTAATTTGTTTTCATCAGCAACAAAACCAGTGCACTTCTAAAATTGCCCTTCCCAACATGGCACCCATTTTTCTTTAATAAGTTTTCCATGAAAAATGGTTTCTCCAAACCATTACTTTTAAAAGTTCTATCTTCTCAAGTAAAATGAACTCCCTTGGTGTTATAGGAGTTTTTAAAGGCCCATCCCTACTAGGTGGTTCCAACATGGTTCTCTTCTCAAAAAAAGCAAGCCGGAAACCCTCACACTTTCCCTGTCTGCCCCACATGTAGTCTAGCAATAGAAAATTCATGACTAACAAGGATCTACACATGTGGTCATGCTTGAAGCAAAAATTCTGTGACCTTCTTTGGGCTTGGCATTTTGGTACAGAATATTAATTAACTTACTTATTTCCTTTCTTTCTCTATCCTTAGTTATTCCTTCTCAGTATTTAGGGTTGCCAGGTAAAATACGGGATACCGAGTGAAATTTAAATTGCAGATAAACAAGATTTCTTTAGTGTATTTCTCATATATTTTATCAGACATACTTTCACTTTAAAAAAAAGTTTATCTGAAATTCAAAGTAACGGGGTTATGTCCTATGTATTTTTTCCTAAATCTTACAATCCTATCCACACCGCCTTTCTTTTTCAGCTGGTATAAGGGGTGAGATCTGCCTCCCTCTATACCCCTGTGTTCAGAAACCTCATGAATATCTGCAGACATAATGTCCTTCAAGAAGGAAAATATTGGTCAGCTCCAGGTCCTGCAAATGCTTTTTGAAGGACCAACTCGAATACAGATGGGATAATCAAGCAAATATCTTCATAAGACTAATGCCACCATGTTCAACATTTCCCTTTGCCAGCCTGTGGTGAGGTACAGGTTTCCCCATTAATCCCTTATGCAGCATTTCCCAGTAACTGGAACAACCAAAAACACAGCAACATATTAGAAATGCACCTGAAAAGTGGCAGCACCCCCTAACTAGTACCAGGACCTCTTTTAAATTCAATTTCTTTTTTCTTTCAGAGAGATAACAAACTAATTCATTATTCCCTTCATTAACACCTTACCACAAATTATTTTCATCAGGTTAAAACTCGTCATCTACGGAATTATAGAAAAGGTGACATAGGAAGGAACTGTCTTCACTGCTGGAAGAACAGGAGAGTCTGAGGTATAGACACTGCCCTGGTAACATCTCCTCAGGACATTGCTGGGGGCAGGGGAGGCAGGCTGGGGGACAGAATGTCATCCTGACATGAAGCTATTACCTGGCAGAGAGACTTACCAAAGCAAATGATAACAGCCAGCATTTTTTTTTCTTTTTTTGGAATTGAAAACCCAAGAAGCTTCAAAATAAGAACAGTGACATCAGAGGCTAGTTTCTA